AGAAGTTGCAAAGGAAATACCTGCTGAAGCTTTTCGTCCAGACACTAATCATAGCAAAACCATCTGGAAAATGATCTATAGGAAATAGTACAGCTTATAATATGAGTCAGGTCAATGTAGGCTGGTAAGGCAATCACTGATTGGCATGTCCTTTAGCCAATCAGGAAATGTCACAGACCTACAGAAGGATGTGTAGATTGTATAGGAATTCATTTTGGTGGCAAAGGACAGGTTTATGTGTTTTAAAAAAGGTGGCTTCTAAAATGTAGAGATGAAAGGTTGACCGACCACTTGCAATCATTTTAAACCTGTTATCTGTATAGTTGTCAGCACAAGTCGAGTTCACTAGTAAATGCTGGCCACTCTGGCTGATTTTGTTTATGATTAGCTCTGCACAACAAGAATAGGCGAAGTGGCTTTCAAAAATTATAGAACAGCTGCTAACAGAAAACTATTCAAAACTCCTTTTCTTTTGCTACAACCATACAGAACCTTAGCCTTGACCCTAAACAATCGTTTTTGTGCTCCTTCGACATCAGCAGCTTGTTTATTAATGTAAGGAATGTGAATGTTTCTTAGAAGACCTAATTTGTTGCACTTGGCTCTCAAATTTACTTTCGAAAAGGAAAAACATAATTCTTTACCGTTCCTAGACGTCTTAGTTGAAAAAGATGACTCATTTCTCACCAGTATATACAGAAAACCTACCTTTACAGGCAATACACACGATGGGATTCTTTCAGTCCCAAAAGTTGCAAAATGAACCTTATTGCTACTTTAGTTCATCGGGCTCTAGTTATCTGTTCAAAATCTAAATTACATTTCAAATTGAAGATAATTAAAACTATTTTACTAGAAAATGGATATCCAGAAAACGTCATCAATCAAATTACTTCAAGGAAAATTGCGAACTTCTCAACTGACCCAAAATTTGGTCCTAACAAGTGTCCTGTTTACCTAAAACTACCATGGATTGGTAACATTTCAACAAAATTTGAAAAACAATTGAAAATGGCCATTACTAAATGTTTTCCTGCAGTGAACCCCTACTGTGCTTATTCCACACGTGCCTACAACACACAAAGATGCGATACCTACCACACAGAAAAGTATGGTTATTTATGAATTCTCGTGCCACTGCGAATGTCGGTACATAGATAGCACTTCACAAAGATTGCAGGATAGAATTAAACAACATGTACCCACATCCATAAGAATAAAGAGTGTGAAAGAAAAGTATTTACCATGGCGCTCCTGTAAAACGAAAGTTCTACCACCAAAATGTGAATCATTGATTGGCCAGCAGTTACTAGTGAACCCGACTTGTGTTGACAACTACACGGATAGGAGGTTTGAAATTATTGCGAATGGTCGGTCGACCATTTGCTTTTCTATCTTTTGGAAGCCACCTTTATTAAAATACATAAACCTGTCCTTTGCCACCAAAATGAATTCCTATACATTCTACACATCCTTCAGTAGGTCTGTGACATTTGCTGATTGGCTAAAGGACATGCCAATCAGTGATTACCTTACCAGCCTACATTGATCTGACTCATATTATAAGCTGTACTATTTCCTATAGATCATTTTCCAGACGGTTCTGCTATGATTCGTGCCTGGCAAAAAGCTTCAGCAGATATTTCCTTTGCAACATTTCAACCAACAATTGGTCCAGTTATCAATGCTATTCTCAAGTTTTGAACAACTCGGCCTTCAAGATCTAGGTATCTACATGTGCCGATGCTTCCATATATCAACGCTATATTTTAAGATCTGTGCAAGAAGTTGGCTAACAGATGTTTCTGCATATAAAAGCTATCTTAATTATTGTTTATACTTAAGGACAACTAAAGCTATACTAGAGTAATATTTCTGTTTATAAAAAAGTAAAAGCATCCTCAGATTTCAACACATATAAAACCATATATATGTAGGTGTAGCTGCTTCGCTTAAGCAAAGTGGACTGATTGTAGATGTAAGTCTATAGTCAGTGTCTCAGTGGAACAATCTAATTTCTTTTAAACTTAAAATATTTACTTTTAACTATTTTGAACAATTAAAATTTGTAAATAGTAAGTCAGTTTCACCTACAAGTTTAAGATTTTCATTCAGTCTTTTACTTTTGTATGAGGTAATCTCTCTGTAGTCAGTAGTGAGTGACAAGTAAGTAATGTTTTAACAAATTTGTTACATCATGTAGAAATATGGGAATACATGTTGATAATAGGTTATTAAAATAAAGTTCAAAGCACCTCCTACAATGTAATGAGAAGTTAAACAAAATGAAAGTTCCACTAAAGAAATTATATGTAATGCATGAATAAAGTAAAAAAAAGATTGTCTGTTTAAGTTTTTCTCCTTGTAATTTGGTTTTACTTATTAAATTAATTAAAAACATATGAAGTTATTTCTAAGGGTTTTACTTTGTCAGATGAATAGTATACATGTATGAAGCATAAAAAAAAAATAAAGAACATATCTACTTTTGTATTTGTTATTTTTTGTAGATTAATGTGTAAATACCAATATTCTTTATTTCAGTGAACCTCCAAAGCTACCTCCTAAAACTTTTCCATGTGTGAACAGATTTGATCCTGGTTTCATTGAGCAAAGGAGAAAAGGCTTAGAAAAATTCTTACAACAGTATGTATATTAGCCAAAAAGTAGTATATGTATAACTTGTTTTAAAGTGCATAAAAGTCACAGTGGGTCCATCACTGGAAAATCTCCAAATTGAAAAAAATAAAAATAAAATAATTTGTGGCCTGACCATATTTTTTTGTCATTTTTCCAATGAGAGCAGAAAATAGCATACATTGTTAGTAAAAAAGGATATTCTTAAACTTGAATTAACAATTGCCATTTTCATTGGGTAGTCTCCTACTGTTAAATTAAAACTTTTTTTTTTCTTACATTAACTACTAAACAACATGTGCTAAATTTCTTCTTAGTCATTTTATGATAACATCATGGATTTTTATGAAGCACTTTGTATGTCGTCTTCAATAATATATTGAACCATTTAGATTTATAATTTCAATACCATAGACTACTGATGTAAGATATAATTTATGTGTAATTTGTTTCATCTATCTTTTCCACACCAAATCTTTTTAAAGACTGACATCCTAAATGTGATCATATTTTTAAAAGTATTTTCTTGGAATGCATGACTAAATAAACAGTACATCCTATGACTTACGAAATTTACTCTTTTCTTCTTTTTTAAATATCATTAATAGACACAGTCACACTTGAAATCCTAAAGAAATATTTAGGAATGTTCAATTTGTGTTTACACATTTACAATGCATTACCTCAAAAATAAAGAAAAACTTGTTAACTATTTTCTTTATAGAACAGAATCTATGTTTTTTTTCTAAATTTCTCAGTGATATCTGGAATACTAGTAATACTTGAAATGATACATCAGAAAACAAACTAAAACTTCTACTGACAAGTATAGATAGGTATTTGAGTTTGAAACTTACCAAAGCATCCCTTTATATGCACAAATGAAAAATACCCTTTTTCATAGTTTCAGAGTGACATACACAACCAGTATTGTTTACGTATAATTATTATTGTTTATCTACAAACTGTAGGTGTGTTTGTCTATACATTAACTGTAGCTGTGTAGATTTTTTGTTGTACTTCTCTCACTGAGACTAAACCTAACAAAGAATAATGTTACAACCATATATTCTGTAGACCTGAAAATAAAAAAAAGTTTCTCTCTCTCTCTCCCTGATCATGTATTTGTTTAAAATTTGTCTAATGCCTTATTAGTAATTGCTAGAATATCGTAATATTTAAAAATAGACTCAATGCATTATTCAACTTAAATATGACTAAGAATGTTTGAAATATCAAAAAGTTTTTTTAGCTTGTAGATAGTGACTCTTGATGTACTTCGTGTATTTTCAATTATTTGGAACATGCTTTATTCCACGTTTTACCTGCACAGACCATACAACATGCAATGGCTGTTATGTTACTTGTAGCTCCTGGATACATGCTTTTGCATCTCACCTTTATTATGTAAACATTCTCTATTTGATTATTTTTAGTAATTCTATAATAAAAGTATGGTTCATTCTATTCTTTGTGCTCAATAGCATTTAGGTAGTACAGTGGTTAATTGTGAACCTTATTGATGGGCTCTTTAATTGGTATACCTTGTTAAATATCGTTGACTCCTGATGAAAACGGCTTTAATTTTTTATATTTTTGAAAGACAGACATTCTCTGACTGTCTCAGCAGACTGAAACAAAGATTTTTTTATTTTAATGAATTTTATATCTTACATTTATTTACTAGGGTTTCTGTCTCATCATTTTTGTGAGCTGCTGTTACCAACATTGTTAGTGTATACACATGCAACAACAACGAGTTCACTGAGAATCTTGTAAGATGAGTTAAGGTCAATAAACAGTTGAGTACATGTTTACTGTACCTATTTCTTATAACCAGTGGTCATGTAATTCATAAATTAACCCTTTGTACATAAGTTAAGATGAAAATGCACATGCAAAGATCTTTTACAGAATGCCATTCAACATGGTATAAAATATTTGTTGCCACCTATTAATTTTACCCTACATTATTGATTCAGTGACACCACCAGACACACAATATTCAGGGATGCTGAGAAAAACTGTAGATATGCATTTTGGAGGTTCTGGAGATTATGCAAACTGTATGATGTACAAAAGAAATTTTATTCTTCATATGAACATCCTGCACCACGACATGTCAGGGTTTGAGTAAGGCTGATGTCTTCAGTTCATAGACATGTCTTGAGAACAAATACTTTTGTAACAGATATGATGTTTTTGTGTACAACAGATGTGTACATGTTACTACAAGCTTGCTACATTTCGTGTAGATACGCATAGTAAATTTTGAATTATATCCAGTTACTTCTCCAGTACAAGGTCAGTCCAATGCACTGACCTTGTGCACATTCAATTAAGTTGATCTATAGCGCTATTTTGAGGATATTTATAGACATTATTTTTTTAGGAAGAAAGTAATAGTTTAAGTTATATACTCGACAAAGTAATTGTGGAAAGTTTGAAACTATATTTGTATTTTATTGGATTTTAGATATGTCGGGGATAAAACAAAAAAACAACATCTAAGAACATAATCATAAAAGAATATGAAATTTGCATAGTTTTAGCAATTGGCGTGTTGTTGGACAGTATGGTTATCAATATTTCAAAACTAATTTTTTATAGATTTGTCATGGCAATGACATTTTCTGTTATTCTATGTTAAAGTCATGTAAGTTAAATAACAAAATCCATATAAAATACAAGTAATCTCTATGTATTACTTTTCTGACAGTTCTCTAATGATGAAGCTACAACTCTGCTATATACTCTTTGTTACACAGATAACAAATACTGTTAGATGTTGTGCTTGCTTGGGTTACTCTCTTTTTGTATAATTATTGAATTTTAAAATATAAATTTTTTTTTTTCATTTTTTCAGACTTGTTCTTGTACCACTATTTCTCTCCGACAGGAGTGTACATTTGTTTCTCCAAAGCCAACTATCAATTGATAGAATAGAGAGACTGGTTGATGAGAAAGCTAAATTTTTTGATCCATTGGAAAAAGAAAATATTGCCAGTACTTCAAGTCTACCAGGAGCTGAAAACAACACCAAGTACGTACAGTGCATGGAAGTAGCCAGCTACTACTACAAGAACAATAGTAGCTTAAACAAATTAACTATTGTCATTAATTGAAATTTAGTAGTTAAAAAGCAAGTGCTCATAAAAAAAAATATACTGTGCTATATAAGCAATCTATCTTATGAAACATCCCCAAATTATGTGAACAACATATAAGAAAAAAAAGTTTAATAATGAAATACTTTCTGCATTAATCACTGATATGAAATCTGCTTATCAATGTAAAATCACTTAAATGAAACACGAGTACTTATACATCCAAAAGGTTAAAAAAAGTATACATTTCTTGTAAAATGATATTGCTTCTACAAAATGAATTATTTCTTGTGTTGTGCACTTTGCTGCACATTAAGCAATTTATGCAGATTAGCAAAAACTAGAGTAATATATTTATATGTATTACATATATTTGTTTTGTTGTTTCAATTCTACAGCTAGATATTTATGAAACGGATACTATGATCTAATGACATGGTAAAGTGTGTGCTAAACTGAAGCATTTATAGTAACAACTGTTGTTCAAGTGGTACTGGTTGCTACATGGTTTGCTGTGGGTTATATTGCATGTGAAAATGTGGCATTGATGCAAGATCTTATGTACAATAATTGAATTACCAAACAATGATGAAAATAGAGAATATGCTAAAAACATAATGAGATATTTAACCTGTTTTGTAGATATACATAATGAAACAGTGCTTTGATTAGTAACTTGTATTTTGTTACAGTATTGGATAAAATTTTGATTTTATTTGGCAACTTTAGATAATGTGCTGTTTTGTAGAAAATACATGTTAATAGTGCAATATAAAACAAAAATACTTAGAATAGGATTTTAATTGAAACAAAACAAAGTTTTGACAGGATAATTCTTCATTGTTAAGTGTAATAACAGAACAAAAGTTGGATAATATAATGAATTGTATGTTTGTCTTATGTTAGACTATATTTTTTATAAAATACTGCTTTTGTGTTTCATTCAGTTTTCTGATTGGGATTACTGATGCTTTGCTGGTTACATTTCAAAAATTAAATCTAGATGATAATTAGTAGTACTCATAAGCTTTCTATACTAGCATACACGTTATTTTCAAATAATTTGCTTAAATAGAACCTACTAACGAGACACTCACACAATTCATTTGTGGCTGTAAATGACTTTCTGACCCCATATTGACTAAGGTATGCTACATGTTTATTAGTTATCTTCAGTGTTGATAAGTGCACCAGATTTCTCCCCAGACCAAATAGCTTTTTAAACCACTTTATGACTTGTTTTTACTTGAATAAAAACTAATTCTTTTTCAGACTTATTGTAAACAGATATATGAGAATATGAATGTTGTGCATTACCTTTCATGTGATGGAGAATATTTTGATATACATCTGTGCTTAAATACTTGATGCAAAAAATTTAATTAATGCTAAACTGTAAAAGAGAATAGTAAAGATTTTTACCTAAAATATAAGAATTTTTAAAATTTAAAATGGTTAAATTCCAGACTTCTGTAAGAATTGTTTGAACTGACTTATTGTAAATATATGTTCCACTTGTTTTTTATAAGCTACCATGTTTTAATTACCTTCTTTAATATTTCAGCATACAGATATGTTCACCACCTTGTAACTCTGACCATCTTCCAGAGGTCGTTAGCGAGACTCAAGATAGCCCAGTACATTTACAAAGTCAATCTTCAAGTGACTCTTCACTAAACAGAATTGTCTTACATAACTTGAAGGCTGTCAAAAGTGAGACGTGCTTAATGAAAATAGATGAGAAGCCTTTTACAGCTAGCTGTTTAAGGTCAGGTAATCGAAGACCTATTAAAAAAAGTGTTTCTTTTTGTACCCAGGTAGCAGTAACACAGATTTTTGACTGAATTTAAGCAACAAAAGTTACCTCGTAAATTTTAAACACAGTACATTTACTTGTTTAATTGCATTATATAGAGATTTGAAATTCCTTGTACTCAATGTAGCTGGTTATTTTAGCATATATTTGAAATTTTATCATGCAATTAATTACATTGTGTTGAGGTCTGGATAGATGGAAAGCTAGTTTAAATTATGATGACAACAGCTATACATTTAGAATAGATGTGTCTACAATTGGGAAAAATTGGTTGTAAAGTGCTATATAACAAGTAGTGTCAATCTAATGGCCAACTTGATAATCCATAGCTAAAAAAAGATCAGTTTTTTGTTTTTAAGACATGCTGAAATGCATAAGCTTTTACTGCTTAAGTTATGGTTTTTGTGTTGAATAATTTAATACATTCTTTATAAAACATATATTTCATATGAATAACTTGGACTACAATTCATATTAATATTTAAATCTGCAATAAAAATTATCATTGTTTTTTTTGTGAGGTAATATACCCACTATGCATTAAGGATTCATGCTTTGCCATCTTGGATGCATAAGATTTCATGTCTTGTAAGCTGCAAGGTTTTGTACTGTGTAACCCAGATGGCCTGAAGTTTGCTGATCATTAGTGGCATACAACAGAAAAAGGTGTAGCTGAATGCCTTGTGTACATACTTCTTGTATGAAATGTGTAGGGCTGGTAAATAATAATGTGATAAAATTGTGTTATTCTAATCTAATATTAAACTTGTTTATTGTCCATGAAAATTACAGTTTGTTTGATATTCTTTCTTTTGTATTCTCCAGATTTTTTAAGTGTAAGATGATCTATAAAATTTCATTCAGTGAAATTTCATCTAAAAGACATGGAGAACAAAAGTGCCTTCTTTATTATTTTCTTCCGTGTAAGCTGAAGTATTTCAGTGCTAAAACAATGATAATATGTATAACCCATTCTGACATTTCATATGGATGGATAGAGAACTTTTTAATCTATTCTCCTTCAATTTTAACAAACTATTTAATCATTTCACTATCAATATCTGACTCAAGAAATGTTTGTAGATTGTATACACTACTGCTGTCAGGTAGATATGTTTATACAGCTGTTTTTTTCATTATTATATTTTTAATATATTAAACCTCTTTAGCAGGAACCCTGAAGATTAGCGCATAAACAATTCTTTTAATTTTATGTCTAACTATTATTGCATTTGTGCATACTTCCTTCTGGACACTAATTATTCCTGGTTGTAATCACTCTTGTACAGCTTTCTTTTTTACTCTTGTTTGGTCCCAGTTATAATTACTACTTGGCAGCATTTTATACCTCCAGTAGGAGAATTAGGATATGTTTACATATTGTTCATGTATTAGAGCTGGATGATTAACTCCATTAATTGATATAATCAATTAGTGTCATTTAATTATTGATTAATTCAAATTATGATGAAATTAATTAATGTTATGAAAATAAAATTACAAATGACACTTGGGCAAAGGTTAATAATAACTAAAACTCACCACAATGCTAAAATATATTATAGTAATCAACTAATAAACATTAAGAGTTTCTGTTTCCTAATGTCTTTGATTATTCCAACTACCCAAGTAATCAAACTGTTATCATTGTGGTTGCTCATTATTATTTTATGATTAATTTAAGGTTGTTCAACTTAATTGACTAGTAGTATAAGGTATACAAATAAATTATCTAATCAAAATTACTGTTTCTAATTATTACTATTTTCAATTATTCCAAGTCTTCTTGTGAGAATACTCAGTTCAATGTTATCAACTAATGAACCTGATTATTAAACAGTTAGCAAGTTCGATTAATTGCTAAGCTCTAATATGTACACATATGTTGTGGATAGAAAATTTGTCTTATTTTAATGCTCTTTTTCTGGTTGCTAAGAGTTTAAAATGTCTTTACCAAAACACTTCTGTAGTTGGACTAGACCTGTTTTGTTTTTCAAAAACTTTTTTAAATTATTGTAATTTAGCACTAAGGACTTCCATTTCATTTTTAACCCACATTAGCTCACCTTTGAAAAGTTACATTGTGGAACACTTGGAGTCCAAACAGACCCGAGCACAAAATTACCATTATATAATGAGAAGCCATAAAGGCTAGTTATTTGTAACTGAATTTAAAGCAGAACTCCAAATGACTAGCCTTTATGGAGTTATGAGTTTCTACGATGATTTAACTAGCTATACATGCCTGTTTCACAAGTAGTTCTTTTATCTCATTGGTTATGGTTAACATCAACAATTTGGCTGCTTATTTGCATGTATTCCTCCTCATTGTTTTACTTATCAAAGATCCACCAGTGGTTTCGTATTTACTTTCTATAAACTTCACTTCCTGCCTTTAGTGAAGATAACAAACTTTTTCATAGCTTTCTCTCAGCTATTACTCAAATCTGTTTATGTTGATAAGACAAATTTCTGGTTTTTACTGCAGCCAAGGATGTGTCATAGTATATGCTTCACATATACATTTATTTCTTTGGTCAAACGTCTTTGCATTAGACATTGGCTCTTCAAGAAACTTTATTGTTAAAGTTGTAATTCCTGTAAGAGGGAAACATTCCAGAACACAGAGTTTTTGTTTTTTAATAGAATTGTGCTAATTTATTTAGACTTTTATAGACTTGCTTATAGCCGTATCAAATTGTTTGAATTATTTATTTCTATTATCGACTCAGTTTGTATAGAGTTGTGTGTTATATGATGTCTATAGAAAATATAAGAAAAGTGAGTACCAAATTATCAAAATCCAAAGGACCAAGTTTATGTTTATAACCTGCTATGTCCCAACTTAAACACTTGTTGTTTTTCTTCAGTGCTACAGTACTTCTTTCAAAAGTGAAATGCTACATAAAAAACTATACCATACGTTTAAATAACATTGATGAAATTTGTATTTAGATGCTGATACGCAAATGTTTAATGTAGTATACAATTTTAATACTTGTGTACTTATTTATGTTTTTATTTCCTTAAAACTTTATTTTCAATAAATGTTATACATTTCTGTCAATTTAAGCATTAATGTGTTTATTGAATATAAAATATAATATATATATATACTTATACATTTATATTATACATGTGCATGTCATTTACCTCACTTTAATTGACTTGTGTGTAGGTTACAAATGCAGAAATTTTCACAAATGTAAAATTTGAAATACATTAATGTATTTTGTGGGAAAATTAGCATTCATGTTAATAAAAAATACAACAATCCAAGCAAAATTATGTTAGTAAGTCTGTATGATAAGGAATGAAAAACAAATGTGGGATTTTTTTTCCCCCAATTTTCAATATAATATTTTTTTTACTGTATATGTGTGTGTGTTTTTTTTTCACTATAATATTTCTTTACTGTATATATTTGTGTGAATACAAATTTAAGGTTACTGAAAATCCATTTGCGGATACATTTTTAACTTTACCACATACACAACTGTTACTAGTTGTTTTTTTATTATTGCTTTAAATATTTTGAATGAATTACAGTAAAGGGTTATACAAAAAAAATTACAGTGTTATAAACGTTTATTTTACAAATTTGTAATATTTTTTCCCACATGTTGTTACTAGTTTTTATCTTTGCATCTCAAATTTGGAAAATAATATTTTGGAGACCGGCAGTATGGGCTCAACATGAATGTTAACACCACTATACAGTTATTATGTTTGAGTGCCACTAAAACATTAATACTAACCAAACATACCTCTATCTTTGTCAGTTTTTAGCACCATCAGATAGGAATTCAGTGGTAAAAAAATTGCATATCACAAAGTTATAATTTTTGTACCCTCATCAACAAAGAACGACTTGTATGGTTTCAGGATGATATATTATGATGTTTAGACTTCTGTTTCTTGTTCTTTATACCTATAACATATATGGTGGTAAAAAATTAAGCATAAAAATTGACTCAATTGTTATATATCTTTGATTCCTTAAAACATATGTTTGACTGGGTCTATGTACAATTTATATGAAATATGATATGTTTTCATTAAAAGAAAACGTGTACCTTATGGTTGTGTGATCTGCGAAGAACCAGAAGTTTTAAATCCTAACTGTAATACCTATACTTAAGTATGACCACTTAGTATATTGATCAACAACAGTATAACAGATGTGTAGGGCAGTTTATATTAGTTAGTCTCATGTATGGAGAAAACATTGCATTTTAGTTTCTTTTCAGAATGTATTTTATATCAATGTGTGTTCAGTAGTTTAAAAATATTCATATTTATTTATACTTCTGTAGCTACTGTTGTCTTTTAAGAATATATTTTTCTGAGTGTTTTAGAATAGAGTATTTTTATAATATTATTCCTTTTCTGCACAAAAAGTTATCCCATCATATTCTAGAGGTAAAACAATGGTTTTGTAACTAATGCAGGTGTAGATAACAGTACTTCAAATTTTCTATACCAGATCTCTAATGATTAGCAGAGCAGAAATACTAATTCCAGTTATTTTTGTGTTAATGTCTTTGGAAATATTCTTTCTTTGTGTAAATACTGTTACCAGTTTTCGTATACAGTGGATGGACTGTATGGAATTATATGCTGAGAACTGTGTGAATATGAATTGTCTTATATTGGTATTAAATCTGAATGAAATTAGAGCTTCGCCTAGCAAAAAAAGTTCAAAATAAACCACCTGGAAGACACATATCAAGATTGTTTATTGAGAAGTGTATGAAAGTCAAAATACTATATATTTTTAAAGCTAATGAAATTTTTTAATTGAAATTTATTTCAATTACTGTCATTAGTATTTTACATGTATATATATATCGTATTTATAGATATATATTTACATATTCGTATATTGTAGGACTTGTTTTTTTATCAATATATTAAAGACAGACTTTTAAATCTGGTTTTTGTCTATTGAATATTTACTACTGGGATTTATTAAATCGTATGGACAAGGGATGAAGAAATAGTTAAAAGTTATGTAAATATTTTGGCTACCTCAGATACCAGGGTTGACGAAAATCAACGAAAAATTCACAAATTTTTCGTACCTTTAGTGGTGTATTCAAAATAAATAGAACTCCGAGTGAAGCCAAACTAAGCTTTCTGTGTTAATATAGGAAACAATAAAATATTAACATTACACATTGCTGTTAAGGAAACCGTAGCAACACATTTTGATTAGCATATTATATACAGACATGCGTTTTAATCATTATACCAAAATTGCAATATCGACGTGAAATTGTTGTGAGAGAAGCGAACATAAGTTTTGTAGACACTTTTTTTTTATAAATATTCAAAGTAAGTTTTATATATGATTGTACAGACGAGATGTTTTTAGTTTGATCTCAATATTTATTTCGCTGTTATTGTTTTATCGTGCCTAGTAAATTATGTCTGGCGATTGTACTTCCAACTAGCAACAGTATAGAATTTAACAAGTAGTCAAAATCTAACAAACAGAATTCAGTGGAGATGAATCCACTGATATTAGATGTAAGAATTGAAGAATGTCACAGAAACCATGAAACTTAATTATCTTATTCTAATTTCCTAGAATGAGATTACTAGTATCTAGTTGCACGGACCAATAAAAACTTGCTGGTTAAGTCAGCCCGGACTGTGTACTATCATGCGTTAGTAATCAAAAATGACAGAAGCCTTAACCATACTCGGGAGGTAAGTAATTCGATTTTTAATTCTGACGTATTTGTTCAGTCAGTCAGTCGAATATATGTTATTTTTCACAACAAAGATATTACCTTTTCATTTGCAACAAAAGTGTGCTCAGTGACGCAGAAAACCTTTTTTCTGTACTATTATATTACTGTTCAGCATAGGAACAATGCAATATTTGCTTACAAGTTTATTGGTTGTGTTTTTTAAACAGTTATTTTACCGTCTGTCTGATGATACCGAAAAATATTACAATTTAATTCTAAATATTTCTCTTTGATATAATATACATTCAAACTATTGAAATATACGCTTATAATTAATTCTAAAACAATTATATTTTAACTTGTTTACAGTTTATCATCGTCTTTTAAACATAACATTTGACACTTTACAAACTACAAGTAGTAGCAAATAGACAACAGAAAAAACTCAGTATGGTTACCTTACTTTATTTGATTGAGCTTTAAAAACGTTAGATACAGAAATATAAGTGTAGAAATATTCATTATACTAAAAAATCGCGTACGTATGATAAAGAAAGTTGATTACTTACAAAATAAGAAATGCGATCGACAGTATTGATATGACCAGGAGCCGTGTCCTGCACGTCAGTATAAATTTATTATAATACCAAACCTAGTAATAAATATGTGTCAGAAATTAAGAAACCCGATGAGTGTGTTTTACCCGACGTTTATTCGTGGAGTTATATTCTCGAAGACAGGC